CCCCCCCCCCCCCCCCCCCCCCCCCACCCCGTCCTAAATCGGAACGTCACGACGGCAGCTCATTTGGCAACGCCGGAAATTCGGCAAAGCTTGTCACTAGAATTCACCCCAAACCTCCGTTTCCCCCCTCGGTTGCCACCATTTCCGTTGCGATGGTGTCCCCTCTGTCTCTCCCGTCGCCACCAGCCGTCGCACCCAACATATGCGCGAAAGCGTCATGGGGCGGAGCAAACGGAAGAGGAGCAGCCGGGTCAGCAGCGGTGGTGGCAGCATGCGTGCGTCCCACGGGCTTGGGCCCTTGCAGGAGGTGTGCACGATACGGCGGATATGGGCGGTCTTAGTTGCTGCTCCCCACGCAGCACATAGCTGAGGACTTCGGCAATGCACCTCAATCCTTGGGATCCATTTTGTGGGTGAAACAACAGCTTCCGATCCCGCACCAAGACTTCGGAAGGACGATGAGGCCCCCATAGACCTAGAGTTCATTGAATAAGCCTACAACCCTTGAACAAATAGTCACGGTCACACCAGTGTTCGACCCCAATCCCCTTTGGAAACAACGTGGTGCCTTCCGTCTGCTTCAGGCGATGAGGCAGGCGACGAACCGCGAGAAGGCGGCCAAGATCGCAGAGAAGGATCCCTTTGGGCCGGTGGACGAGCAGCTCGACAAGAGCAACGCGTCCGAAGCGGTCAACACAGCCGCCATGGCCCAGGTATATACAATACATAGTTATTCCAGCAGAGTGGCTCTTGCTGCACCCACCCCATCGGCTCCAATCATGGGACATGATGCGTGTCGATGACCGCACTGGGTATGTATGTCTTTTGTCCTAAACCATGGAACCTCTGTCTTTTGTCCCATACCGCGGGCTCCCGCTCTCCGGATACCCAGGACTTGGAGTACCCCGGTTTCGAGGTGGAGGACCAAGTGTGGAACCGGCTTCTAGAACTGAGGGGCAGCAAGATTAGGAAGGAATTGGAGCTAAGGAAGCAACATCGGCTCTTTGCCATCATGAAACGCAAACTCGAGGCCCTCCAGGCAGACTGCGACTCCGTCGACAGCCAGGTACATCCGTCGTGGAAGATACTGCTAGCATTTTTCAGCCGAGTAACGTGCCACCTTTCGCGGTTACTGTACCCCCTTCCCTATTCTATCCCTTAGAGCCATCCACGGTTGCTATCCAAGTATAATTCCGACGTAAACCAGGTTCTACATCGACCCAATTAAGCATCCTTCCGGCACTTCATTTCCCCTCTCGCCAGGCGTCATGATTTGATGTTTTATCCCACGAGTTTCCTTTCGTCGGCCACCATGAGCATAAGTGCGAGGACCACACCCCATGTTTCGCCTTCAAAGCGATTCAGCATGATACTGTTGAACCAAAAGGCCGCTGCTATCGTTGTAACCCACAGGTTACGGTTATCGAGAAACGGAAACGGGCGATCAGCGAACGCGCCTACCTCGCGGAGAAAAACATCGAAGTGCTGGTCAAACTCAAACAGGTGGGGTAAATCGTCAACTTCCCTGCGTGCGGAGTTCGTGCGTTCGGGTGCTCTTGTTAGCTGGGAAAATTTTGCTCGAGCGTGTTGCTGGGGCTGTCAGGAAGTGAGTCGGATGACCAGAAGTCGCCGAGCAAAACCAGAATACGTATTTAGCCTCTGGTACAGTTTCCTATGATAGCTGCCGTCAGGAAATGCACATAATAATCGGTTGATATTGTCGAAGCAATCACCTACCCACCAAGAGCCGCCGGCCAACGGAATTGGCGAAGAATGCGGCACAAGTTTGGCGCAGGAACTCAGCCAGGGATCATTACGTCATTCGCCTGGTGCAAGTGTAACCCCCCAACCTATCGCAGATTCGCGGGACAAAATATGTTGCTCTGTGAAAGCCTTTGATTGCAACAAAAGGGGCAAGACGAGGTGTCCCGAGGGGCCGTGGTGACAGACTACGGCGACAGCGTGCTAATTCCGTCAGCCATCGTCAACCACACCAATATGATATGGTGCTCTGTGAACGCCTTTGATTGCAACAAAAGGGACAAGACGAGGTGCCCCGAGGGGCCGTGGTGACAGACTACGGCGACAGCGTGCTAATTCCGTCAGCCATCGTCAACCACACCAATGAGGAAATTCGCAAGCTAGGAGGGGAGAAGGTGTGGTCCGTTTTTCGATCAATCCGCCAGGCTGTCAATAAAACCACGAATAACCTGATGCTTTGTAGGAGAATACCCAGAGCTATCTTCTCCCGCAGGAACGCATCAGAGTGAACATGTTTCGCTGCGAACTCCGCCGTGATTGTACGCACGCCTGATTCTTGCTTAAAGTATCTCTAGACTGATGTTGTAGATTCAGTGTTTCCTTTGTTCCGCCCATCGTCTCTGATCCCCCCAGTCCTCTACCACCATGAGCGACTCTCATCCAGTTTAACATCTAGGTAGGACATCAATACCTACCAGGAGTTCAACATCAATATGTAGTCTAGTGGTTCAGTGTTTCCCTCTGCGCGATGTGGTGATCGTCCAGGTTCGTACCCTGAACAAGATCAAGCAGTTCCGGAAGAACATCAACTTGATGCAATGGGACCATACCTACCTCGACGAGCAGGTGAGCGCTTCAGCTCATCCCTGGGTGCTGATGCCATTGGTTTCGATTTTGTTGGTCGCTCATGGCAGCTTTGCGACTATTTCGATCCTGTCTATCTGCATATCGCAAAAATTGCAACGGTTTACGTCGCACAAGAAATCCAGAGAGACTTTTCTGAAAGGTAGTATGCATGCCACCTTTCTTTCATCATGAAGTCTAGCGATAGAGGCAGTTGCACCACTTTTTTCAAGTCCCACTTCGCAATTTGCAGAATATGGCCGCTGGCAGTGTTCTGCGCCAAGTGAAACAAGCATCCCCTTGATGTACACCACACTTATTTCGGCCATCCCCTTGGTACACAGGTCAAAGACCGCGAGGCGTACTACATCGACCTACAACTCTTGCGGGTGACAAAGAAGCTTCAGGCAGTGCTCAAGGGCGACCGGGGAGAGAAGGACAAAGAGCTTGTGCAGAAAACAGAGGCCAGGGTAGAGATGATGGAGAGGTCGCACGAGTCCAAGGTGTGGAGAACATGTATTCACATCGTCGAAGGAACTGCTGGTTGGTGTGATCCCTTGCCGTCTTCCGATACGTGCAATTTTTCCTGGAATGTCGGGGGGGCTTGCTTAATTGTGGTGTTGGTAAAATCGATTTCGCTGCAGGTACAACAACAACGTGCTAGATGTGTGCATGCACGAGGCTCTACAATGGCCACTTCCTACGTTCGGCGCGCTGGCCCGGGAGTCAGTTTGAAGAGGGCTAGAGCATCCAACTGCTCCAACTACACCCACATGATTATTGTTAGAAACGCTTACCCATTATACTACTTAGTCAGCCGCTGACTAGTCTAATGGTGTAACTTTACACAACGCCTGATCCGCCGCGCTGTGCTCTGGGTGCCGTTAGACACACAAAGCGAGGCAGGCAAACGCCAAAATCGCGCAACAGCTCCAAGAACGAGAAGACGAAAACCGGAGGGTGAACGGGCAGCTGGGGCAGCTGGCCACCAGCGTTAAGGTGCGCGAGGCCATCTTCCGGAGCCACATGGAGTCGTCCGGCGGGGACATCAACCCAGCGCAGCAGGTACCACAACAAACTTACGGGGGGTTGGTCATTCCTTCTCCAAGAGTATGTCCAGAGGAACAGTGATAATTTCTTGGCGTCCAATACGAACTTACGTTTCAAATTGAGCCTCGTCCCAAGATCGAGGTACAGGTATTTAGCCCCCTCTGAATATCGTTAATAGTTCTGCACGTGGTGGCATCCCGCTGAAATCGACTTTCATGGCTTGTTGCCCCGCAACTTGCCGCAACCGAGAAGGCGCGAACGCCGACCATATGTCTATTGTAAGGAAAGCTCGAAAGCTCTCGCGAAAGGTTTCCAAAACCCCCGTTTTCTGCAAAGGCGCCCCCTTTGTTGTGGATCAACGGAGCTATGAGAGTCAATGTGGGTGGGTTGACTACTCGCACGATAACGATAGGATTGTATTACAACCATCGTGTCATCAAGCAGCACTGAGGACATGCAAACGTTTTGGGGGCAAACGACAGCTAGAGATTCGTGATACTTCGCCACGTGATGCTGCAGGCATCTTCATGTTTTCGGCAGTTATCGAATGGCAACAGCACTAGATATCATAAAGTTATGCTTATCGCCATAGGATCTTGTGCGACCCGGCTTTTTCTTCGCTCCCTTCACTCCAACACCTTCACTCCAACACCAGAGCGCCGGGCGAATGAAGCGCATCACCACAAGGCGGCGCCTGGTCGACCTCGCTCGGGCGCAGACGGGAGAGATAGAAGCTCTTAAGGCCGAGCTTGACAGGCTCCGTCAAAGGACGTTCCCGTCTTTTGCGCACGCTGCCCGAAACAACTTGTGTGTTGCTGACACACGTTAGCATGGGTCTTTAAAGCTGGCTTCGGATCGATGTGCAAGAGTTTGAGAGTATTGGGAGTACAAGGATCGGATGGTAAATGTTGTTGACGTGCGACGGATGCTCGATAAACACCAGGGCCGATAAATCCACAAGGAAGGGCACTACCGTACGCTGCGTGGCATGACGGAGTGATGACGGATGCACGTCAAGGTGCTTACTCAGACCAGGTCGTAGAGGCAGGGCGTGGTTGACACTGTCTTTTTCTGTGCGCGACAGATACCGGGTGTATCACCTCCTACAAGCAGCCTGGCGGAACTACAAGCTGATCTAGCACTCCTTGCGTCAGGGCTGCATCTTGGACATCAACAGTATTACAGTCAGTGGCCGCAAGAGTCTACAAGCTGTTCTAGAGCTCTTACGCATCGAAGACACGTAACATAGCTAGTCTGCAGCTCTTGGAAGCACCAACGCAACACTCCAAAACATCCAACGGCAAGGAAGTCCGCATTGATGTATTTGCTCAGCTATGTAGGTACAACAAACTACAAGCGGGTGCTCTCTCCCCCCAGATGCAATGAAGCGGAGGGAAGAGCTTTCTTCGTACGTAGAACAACGCATGCGCATGCACGATGGCGTTGCCAGTGTCCACGTTTTCACGGAGAACGCGACAAAGCCCCAAAGCACCTAGACTAAAGCACTGGCGGCCTTACAGGCAGTGCGCTCACAAACGCCGTACACCAGAGATGCAACAGCAAAAGTAGCAGCTGAAACACTGGCCACCCTTCAGGCCACAAGGAGCTGGTCTAGTAGATCTTATGGCTCCACGGTTTTCCGAGTGCAGTTACCAAGACTCAAGATCCAACCTCTCCGCTCCCACTGGCAGACATATCTCGATCGAGCCGTATCGAGCTGAACATTCTGCACGGAAGTTTATGCGTCGCCCGTAGATCTTCTCCGTGACTCTTTATGGCACGCTCTGAAGTCGTTCCATTCCGTTCGACAATCCGCCACATTCCCTCTGTGAGCCTCCATGCAAGCAGCGACAACATCGTACGTAGCCTGGCGTATACGGACAAGGTGAGGCGCCCAAAAGTTCATCATTATCTATCAGAATGCGTGTATTTTCTTATCTCAGCAACGCGTTGGAAACGTGACTCTGGTCGTCCTGCGGGAAACGCACGTTCTTTCATAATTCATTTGGGAAGCTTCTGCTCACGCGCGTTGGAAAAACTGCTGTGTCCCGACGCATAACGTTTGGGGGCCTAGCGCCGTCCCATGGACTATGTAATGAAATGGTAGTGAAAAAAAGAGTTGGAAATAATCTCCACTTGGACGGGCAAGGTCGCTCGTTCGTTTCACTTTCTAAAAATTGGAGCGATGGTCACACGCGTACCGAAATAGGAGGGAAAAGAAAAAGAAATCGTGGACTCGTCTGTGAACAGAGACGAATGCGTTGGCGGAGACCACCTTGATAAAGGCATAATCCCCCCAACGTCTGTCGAGGACGATTCCCTCTTTTCACAATGGCGTCGACGTGAGATGTCAGAGTGTCTAGTAATGTGGAGACCACCTTGGTGAAGGTATAATCTCCCCAACGTCTGTCGGGTACGATTCCCTCTTCACACGTTGTGTGTTTGCATCGAAGACAAAATGAGGGCGCTTTCGTACGGTCAACTCCAACCCCGGGGGCCGAAGTTAGTTGCAGTTCCGCTGTTGCACGAACATCTTGTTTGTTCAACAGTTGGGACGCCAACCGCACGGAAATATCAGATAACTCTCATTTACTTTCCGCATCGACTATACGGTGCTGCTTCGGAGATGTTTGTTCTGCATGGTTTGGTGATGAGTGACTGCGTCTTGGGCGGCTACAAAAGCTCTCGCTCTGAACAGTCATCGCACTCGCCTGACAATCCATTTTTTCTATCGCTGCTTCTCGCTCGTCTGTTGCTTTACCGGGTTTACAATTCTCGCAAATGGGGGGTGCTGAGTCCGGCATTGCACCCGGTAAACCCGCGCACTCCTGCTCCGTACAGCAGCAGGCAGAGCCGCTGTGTCGTGCGTGTGTGGTATTGAACAGCAGCAGCAGTCGTCGCTTTGGGGGTTCCGTAGGATATCTCATGTGTGCCCCCGAACAAAACAGGAACATCTCGCCGCTGCCCGTGCGCGATAGCGCTGCTCCGCTCTGCTCTGTCTGTCTGTTTCTCTCTCTCTCCCACAGGCTATTCCACTCATGGTTGAACAAGGTACCGCGTCATGACTTGTCTTTTCGTTCCATGGGGTGACGACGTTCATCGTAACGTATTCGATTACTTGAGTTGGACAACAAATGGGCAGTTATCCTGCGTCAACAAGGCGTTCCGTTCCGCGAACATCAACAGCACCATCAATGCCCACGTGTGGTGGGGTCAAGCGCAGTCCACCCGCCAGGATATGGAGAGTTTGGTGGCATCCCTCGTCAGGCAAAGAAAGGTGTGTCAGGAAGGGAGTGTTAGTCGCAGCGCACAGAGTTGATGGCTGCTCACACTCACACATGACTCAACATATACATTTGTACGTGTGATGCAAGATGCAAGTACCGTCGAACCCTCTCTCTCGCTCCTCCCGCGTGGAGTACGGTAGCATTCTCTTTCCAGCCACACCGAGACGGTCTGTAATTAAGCACTCATGTCCTGAATCTGTTGAAAGCTGGTCTCTCTTGTGTTTGCATCTATTAACCCAACCAGGTAAAGCTACAGAGCGCACCAGGTGTACTTCAATCTTCAAATGCGGCGTAATGAGACTATGTGTCATTCCCCCGCCTACTTTTATGTAGTTTAAGCAGTACAGCAGTAGAGTTACAGAGGATGGTAGTGACAGCAGTACATATGTCAACTTTTCCCAAATTTCAAACCTCTTGACCATGCGTACTCGTTCGTGGCTTTTGCGTTGAATTACTTGTGTGCCCTGCGATACTGCTGTCAGATGCTCACGCCGTCGGCGCGGCCTAATTTCTGCATGCTGATGATCGATGGCAACGTGTTCCTTTCAAGAACCCTTCGCGAACTGTGCTCGAGGTTTCACTCTTCCAACCTCGTCCCGGTGGAGTGCCCAATCGTTGTGGCGGAGGTGAGCGCGAGAAAGAATGATCGTTTTATCGTAAGGCGGGCTCTACAATAGTAGTTTCGTGACGAAGGCAGTTGGGTTGAGGACACGAGAGAAGACTGACACCCCGTATGGGACACTTCGACGCCAAACCTTTCAAGCGCGTTTTGAACTCAGGAAGCAGCATCGATACATGAGCGCAGCAACCCTCCAGCACTTCGGTACGTCAAATGACGGAGGAGTCCCCGTACTGGTGTTGTTGGACGATCATACTTGAGTTTGCAGGGCACCGCGCACCACCAAGTGAACGACATCAAACTTGCTCCGGTCAAAACGTGTATGTGCATTGTTCGTGCGGGACGTGATTGCCTCTACCCTTTCCCGCCGTCACGGGTGACCACAAGAGCGATTCGGGCGTGTACGGAGCAGGAGTTTCCGGTGAAGGTAACCACTCGACTTACGAAGGCCGGGACATCGAGCTCGATCCCCCACCACCCACCACGTGCGTGCTCACCGTTGCATACATCCCACCGGAGGGGGGGAGCGACGGCGGCCTACCGCAGCCTCGAGTTAAGACCTTCATCGCCAGCCACAATTTCCAGAACACACGGAATGACGGCCCGTCCGTCGACGGTGTCGCACCCGTTTTCACGGAGTGCGCTCCCGCCGTTACCTTCGGAACCAAACTGGCAGCAGTGAACGGGGAGAACAAGCCTGGCGGCACTTCTAGCTCGGCGTCTGGCACTAATCTCACTGAACCCGCGGGGTCAAGCGGGCCACCCCAGCCGGTGAGGAGGTCGAGCCGGGCGACGACCGTGGCTAATTCGAAGGTGGCATCGCAGCGCGTGTACCCGAAGCTAACACCGCCATCATCCAGCGTCCCGCTAGAGGACGCTGACACCGTTTTTCTCGTGGGCGATCACCACCCGCTGTTGATGGCGAGAACGGCGGACTGGCTCCAGAAGTTGCTTGGGGAAGATACGGTGGTCCTTGGTGGCAGCACGACATGCGCTTTGTGTATTGGCAGCCAGGTGAGGCAAACGCTTCGAGTGTTGTTCTCGCCGCCCAGGGCCACGCAATTCGAGTTGAACGCACGGTTAAGTCTCTTGTGCTATTCCCGCGTTATTCTCCTCGACAAACAGCAGTCACCCGAACAAAATTATTGTTGGCAACGCGTGGGACAGCTCCTAGATGCGGGACATGCTTCGTGGGACAGCTCTTCGATGCGGCACATGCTTCTTCCAAACCCAATCCATACCATGATATGGTACGTTCCCCCCCCCCTATCCAGATGTTTCCCGATCCCGAAGAGAAGGTCAGAAATTACTCGCGACCAAGCATCCAAGCTCGCGTTGTGGTCGGCGTCGCTCTGCGAGGAGTACACGCCCTGGCGATTTCAGCGAAAGGCTACGAAGGTGTCGGGCCTGTATTTAAGATAGACACCACGGCTGACCCTCAAGGAGGCCCACAGGCAGAGAAGGGCGAGGTGCGGAAGAGGAGGGTTAATTTGGGCACCACCGTCGGTACGATCAGAATTGTAGTCGGGTGTGACGGGATTTATTCGGCGACGGGATGTCCTGGCTGACCTTGACACCGAGATGTCCAACATTTATCGTCTTTTTCACACGCGTAAACCGAGAAATATGTGAAGGTCCCAGATCCCCGCCAAACGAGACTAGACCTCTCTCTGGGTATTCGCATACGTCCACCACCACGTCTCCTTCGAGCAAAGAGAGAAAACAAGAACCTGAGTTGAGACTTGAATCACCCACGGAGTGAGCACTAGCCACAGATACCAGCAGACGAGCGGATGGATCCATGGGATCGGCTACATTTCTGTCCTTTGCCGAATAGAGGGTTCTATTTATTTGGTGTTGAGCTGACCGTACGAGTGCGCACATAGCAACAAAGCCACACTCTAGAGGCTACCTTGGGGGAAGCTGTCCCACGTTTATATCCAACACAGTAGTTTCGGAACATAGACGACCGGCCGTAGGATTGAAACGGATGACGTGCACACGTGGCATTGGATCCGTTGTGGCTTTTTCTACCGTGACGAACTCTACCTTTGCTCCAATTTCCAGGGACATGTTTGACCTACCGGCCCCCCAAAACTGCTCGCCGCCGTCCTTCCCCAACGGTCTTTGTTGCGTATCTCGTTTCCTGCGGTTTCCAGCTGTTGCGAGATGTGACGGTCGTGTCATCGGAGGGGGTCGCTGTTCGCAAAAGTACCGCCCTATCGATCTTCCAGCACGAGGTGAGGTGAAGCGAAGACAAAGCTTGCGCGATTGTTCAGTCGACTTCTGAAAACGAGAGACGAAAGAATGCTCGGTCCTTGGCGGCTGCTTCGTGAATTATCCAAACTTCTTGATTTCCTTTGGGCAGGCAAGGTACAGCAGTTTGCATCGATGCGTGCGAAGAGGACGGAATGGTAATAGGTACTTGTAGATAGGGCTTTGAAAATGTGTGGAAGGTTAACTTGTTAGAACAGGGTATCGATACGTGATGCACGCCCGGTCAACTGCTCGCTCACGCTCAGAATTCTTGGCGAACCACGTCTTTGCGTACAGGTTGCAGTCACCAGGAACTACAATACTGCGGTGCACTCTGAACGCCACGACCACCATCCGGAAAGCTTCCGTGACTGCTTGATTCATTGATTCACCACCTCCCTGATTTGTCTCACTCTGCGAACGCGTTTAGGTTTGCCAAGCCTCAGGCGAAAGCTACCCGGAAAAGATTTATCTAGGGGTAAGCGCTTCGCCGGCCGAACTGCTCCGCTGCCGATCCGGCTCGGGGCGTTGTGAGGATCTGGATGAGGAGATCGAGGAGGAAGCGAGAGGAGCGCCGCCCATCGCCGTGAACTGGACCTTCGGAGAGGCCGTCGCGCTCGGCGACGATGTGACGCCCGGGCAGCACGCGCGCTTCCTGCGCAGCACGAACCGGCTCGTTCTCGAGGACGCCGAGGCTGCGTACCACGCGTGCGGGCGGCGCGTCGAGAGGGAAGGGGGCGTCGTGCTGTCCTCCATTAGCTTCACGTGCTGCGTTCGGCCCGACCACGTGGAGGTACATAGTGTACCGTGCAATCGTGGCGGGTTGGACCCTCTGCACTCCCATGTGTAGAGTTGTTGTGATTGGGTGTCGCTTTGGAGAGAGAGAGAGAGAGAGAGAGAGAGAGAGAGAGAGAGAGAGAGAGAGAGAGAGAGAG